CCAAGATGGCCTCAAGATTGTCTCAGACGGGCAAAAAGGCCGGCAAAAGGCCTCCAAGACGGCCCAAGAGCCCTCCAAGACGCCCTCCAGGAAGGCCCGAATAGGTTAAAATCATTGATTTTCCTTAGGTTTTTCAAGGATTTTGGCATGTTCTTCTTTTCAGCTCTCCGACGGCCCCAGACGGCCCATGAGGTCCCCAACATCGCCCCAACAGCACCCAAGAGGCCTCCAAGATGGCCCCATGACGGCCCAAGAGGCCCCCAAGAAGGCCCCAAGAGGGCCTCAAGACGGCCCAAGAGGCCTCCAAGACGCCCAAGATGGCCTCCAAGACGGCCAAGATGGCCCAAGATGGCCTCCAAGATGCCTCCAAGACGGCCAAATGGCCTCCAAGACGGGTAAGATGGCTCCAAGATGCACCCAAGACGGCCCAAGATGGCCTCAAGATGGTCTAAGACGGCCCAAAAGGCCCGCAAAAGGCCTCCAAGACGGCCCAAGAGCCCTCCAAGACGCCCTCCAGGAAGGCCCGAATAGGTTAAAATCATTGATTTTCCATGTGTTTCTGAAGGATTGTGGCATTTGCTTTTTGTTCTGCCTTCCGACGGCCCGAGACGGCCCAAGAGGCTCCCAAAGATCGCCCAAGAGGCCCAAGACACGGCCCCAAGAGGCCCCAAGACGGCCCAAGAGGTCTCCAAGACGCTCAAGATGGCCTCCAAGACGGCCCAAGAGCCCTCCAAGACGTCCTCCAAGAAGGCCCGAAAGGGTCAAAATGGCCTCCAGACGGCCACGATGACCTTCAAGATGCCCACGTGTTCCCCGAAGGCTTTCCAAACCGATTCGGGGAACACATGGTCCGATAGCTTGGCAGGTCTGGCCTCAGCGTTCGGCCACATAGGCGCTTCCAAAAAGGCAGGGGGCGGCGGTGATTCGCCGTAGGCGTCTTCGATCAAGGTACGTATATATACACATACATATACAGGAGTAGGGCTCCAGGGGTGCCCCGGAATGCCTGAAGACGAAGACGCTATTTGAAGATTCGATTCGTCAAAAAAGCCGTGGCGACGCCTCTATTGGCCTGGCGCCCTGTGACGCTCCTGACGCCTCTAGTCGGCCTGAAGCCTCTATTGGCCTGATGCCCAAAAACGTTCCTGACGCCTCTATTCGGCCTGACGCCTCTATTGGCCTGACGCCCGGTGACGCTCCTGACGCCTCTAGTCGGCCTGACGCCTCTATTAGCCCGACGCCCGATGACGCTCCTGACGCCTCTATTCGGCCTGACGCCTCTATTGGCCTGACGCCCGGTGACGCCCCTGACGCCTCGATTCGGCCCCGCGCCGCTTTTTTCGCCGCGGCCACGAAGGCCTGAAGACCTCACTAGTTTGGTAATCTAAAAGCATGAGGCTCGAAAGCCTCAAGTCCCCAGACTTCTGCAGGGGCTCACCTGGTGCGTGCGTCGACCTTTGAGGATCGTGGAACCCGAAGACGACATCCAATGGGGGACGGGCAATACAAATATAAGAACAGGAGTAGGTCTCAACACGCACCATGACCCTTATTTCCTTGTTGGAAGATAGTAAGACGAAATTGGCGTTCAAGGTGCGTGCGTCTGTCGTGGAAGAGGAGGCCTCGGAGTGGCTTGGTTCGCGCGTTGGGGACGAGTGCTGGTGAGTACTGGGTGTGGTGTTGGAGACAGAGGGAATTGAGCAGAAGGATAACCCCAAGTTCATCTTGGAGAGGGAACCTGTTGACAGTTGGGTGTGGCGTTTGAGACGAAGGCTCGTGAGTCCTAGGTGTGGTGCTGGAAACGGAGGGAGTTGAGTAAAATGGGATCTTCAAGTTCATACGGGGGAAGGAGCATGTTGAGTATTGGGTGTGTCGTTGGAGACGAAGACTGGTGAGTACTGGGTGTGGCGGTGAAGACGGAGTGGAATAACATGGTATTATCAAGTTCATCTTGGGGGGGGGGAGCCTGTTGAGTGTTGGGTGTAATCTTGGAGACGAATGCTGGTGACTTTTGGGTTTGGTGTTGGAAACAGAGTGACTTGATCTTAATGATAGTTTCAAGCTCATATTGAGGAGGGTGCCTATTGAGTATTGGGCGTGGCGTTGGAGACACAGGCTGGTGAGTACTGGGCTTGGTGTTGAAGACGGAGAAATGGGGTTTCAGGGCATTCTCACATTCATCTTGAGGTGGGAGCCTATTGAATATAGGTGTGGTGTTGGGGACGAATGCGAGCGAAAACTGGGTGTGGTGTTGGAGACGGAGGGAGTTGCGTAGAAGGGTGTATTCGATCTCAGACTTGGGATAGAGCCTGTTGAGTATTGGGTGTGGTGCTGGAGGCGGAAGCTGTTGAGTACTAGGCGGGGTGTTGGAGACGGAGGGATATTAGTAAACTTGCATTTTCCAGTTGATATTGGGGAAGGAGCTCGTTAAGTATTGGATGTGGTATTGGAATGCTTGTGAGTAACTGGGCGTGGTGTTGGAAACTGAAAGCGTTGAGTACAATTTTGATTTCATGTTCATATTTGGGAGAGAGCTCGTTGAGTATTGGATGTGGTGTTGAAGATGAAGGCGCGTGAGTACTGGGTGTGGTATTGGAGACGGGGGACATTTAATATAATGGCCTTTTTTTAAAATTCACCTTTGGGAAAAACCTCGTTGAATATTGCGTACGGTATTGGGGAATCATGCTGGGGCGTGTGAACACTGGGTGTGGCGTTGGAAACGGAAGGCGTTGCGTAGAAGGATATTTTCAAATTCATCTTGGGGAACCTCTCAGGCGGGAGCCTCCTTACCAGGGAGTTTTTTGGGACCTCTCAAGCGAAAACCTTCAGCAGTTTGTTCTTTTTTGTTTGACCGTTCAAGCGACGTTGCCCCCTCAGAGACTGTGATTACGGCGGGGGCGTTGGTTAAGGAATGTGCCCAGGAGGCCTCAGACCTTGGGGGGTTCCTTATCCGATGAGGGCGGTGGCGACGTCCACGGCCGATCCACAATTGGAGCTCCGCGGACTTCCAAACCCTGGGTTCCTTATCCAATGATTCCTTATCCAATGCCCTCGCCGTAGTAACCTCTCTGGCGGGAGCCTCCTCGTCAGAGAGTTGTTTGGATAATCTCTTAGGCGGGAGCCTCCTCTTCAGTTATTGCTGGGATCTCTCAGGCGGGAGCCTCCTCTTTAGTTATTGTATGGGGGTGACGACCAGGAGGAGGAGGAGGAGGAGGAGGAGGAGGAGAAGGAGGAGCAGGAGTATAAGGAGGAGGAGGATCCCCCCACCCCCGTCCGCCAACGCCCACAGGCAGGCCACCCGCGCGCGGGCTCATGGAGGAGAGGCTACGACAGGAGGATAACCAGCAGGGCGCACCACTTTGGAGTGTAATGCTCACATAGATCAGGGCGCAATGCTCACCCAGGGTGTAGTCAAAGGCGCAATGCCTGTTTAGGATGAGGATGATAGGGGAGGAGCCACAGCAGGGCGTAATTGAATGACCGTTCGGCCCCCTCACTCTGATATGCGTTTCGTGTTCGTTATCCCTCTCTCTCTCTCTCCCCCCTCTCTCTCTCCTTCTTTCACTCTCTCTCCCGCTATGTCATTTACTTTTCTCTCTTAAGATGGGGTCCCAGGGGGGGGGGGGGGGGCTAGCATATACATACATACATACATACATACATACATACATACATACATACATACATACATACATACATACATACATACATACATACATACATACATACATACATACACACATACATACATACATACATGCATAAATACATACATACATACATCCATCCATCCATACATACATACATCCATCCATCCATCCATCCATCCATCCATCTATCCATCCATCCATCCATCCATCCATACATTCATTCATTCATACATACATACATACATACATACATACATACATAATATATATATATATATACATACATCTTTACATACATTATGTATACATACTTACGTACACACATATACTTAATAGGTAAAGCGTTCAGCCGTGCCGAAAATCCTATAGCACACTGCGGCCCCTACGGGTACTATGTGTGCAGGGCCCCGCTTTGTGGGCCTGCCTGGTGACCATGGGTGATGGACGGCGGCGACGACGTGACCGCCCAACTCCGCCCAATGCCGCCGAGGGCCGCCGAGTCTCCGACGGCCGCCGACCACCGCCGAGAGCCGCCGAGGGCCCCCGAGGGGTCTCACGAAGGCCGCCGAAGGCCGCCGCTGGCCTCCGAGGGCCTCAGGGGGCCGCTGGCAGGGCGTCCGAGAACAAGCGAGGGCCGCCGAGGGCCGGCGGCGGCGACGACTGGCAGGAAGCTGACGGGTCTGGAAGGCAACGGGCCCTGGACCCTCGGGGTCTCCCCAGGACCAGCCCTTCCGTCCTTCCGTCCTCCCTCCTCCCTCCTCCCTCCTCCTCCTCCTCCTCCTCCTCCTCCTCCTCCTCCTCCTCCTCCTCCTCCTCCTCCTCCTCCCCCTCCTCCTCCCCTTCGTCCCCCTCTGCCCCGAGAGCGCGAGCGCTGCGACAAGCTTCAGGACCCGTCTCCGTGAGGACCCGGCTGCTTCACTCGGGCGAGACAGGGAGGCACAGGCACAACCTTTCGGCGCTCCGCGCGGATTTCTTGGATCTGCGCTGGACACCCCTCCCTGGCGCGCGGAGCGGAGCGCGCCAGGGGCGGCGCCGGAGGTGCCGCCAGGGAAACCCGCGCGGAGCTCCGAGAAATTGCGGGTGGAGGCCAGTCCACAAGAAGCATTCCACAAGAAACCCAACCCTGAGACCCCAGGACGTCCATCGATGTTCGGCGTGGGAGCGTCGCGCCTTCCAGAGCAAAACCATCGAAACCCGAGAAACCAAAGGCACCCTGGAGGCACGCAGGGTGTTTCTGCGATCGGTATTCGATCCGTATCATTCTGCACCCTCGGGCCCCCACCTCACCTGTATTCTGCTATCGGTTTTTCGATCCGTGACATGCTGAGTGCCGGCGGCGCTGGCGGCGACGACGAGGCTCCCCCCGATTGCGCGCCGGTCTCGTCGGTCAGAAGCGGGAACTGCGTGGCGTACTGCTGGCCAGACCGCAGCTGGTTCGGCGCGGCGTCGGTGGTGATTCCGACGACGTTGACGCCGAGGTCCTGCGTGTCTCGCTTCGTGCCGCCGTCTTCGTCGTCGTCCTCGTCCTCGTCTTCGTCCTCGTCGTCGCGGTCGTCATGGTCGTGGTCGTGGCCGTGGTCGTGGTCTTCGTCGTCGTGGTCGTGGTCGTGGTCGTCGTGGTCGTGGTCGTCGTCGTGGTCGTGGTCGTGGTCGTGGTCGTGGTCGCGGTCGTGGTCGTGGTCGTGGTCGTGGTGGTGGTCGCCGTCGTCGTCGTCGTCGTCGTCGTCGTCCTCGTCGCTGTCGTCGTCGTCGTCGTCGTCGTCGTCGTCGTCGTCGTCGTCGTCGTCGTCGTCGTCGTCGTCGCCGCCCCACCACACGGTGAGGAACTTGAGCTTAGCGAGTCGCGGCGGCGGCCCCAGCGACAGGCTACGCCCTGCAAGCGGATAGCGTGTCGTTCCGCTCCACGTGGCGGGAGGCTGGGGAAAGCCTGGATTTGTGGACGCTTGGGGGCTGGGAACTGCCGAGCGCGTCGCGCCGCAGCGCGGTGGGCCAGAAACGGCGGCCGGACACGCCGCCGAGCCGAAGCTCCTGGCCGCATCTTGCCACGAAATGTTCCGTAGGAGGATTCTTTTTGCGTCGGCGGCTAGGCAGGGTAACTGCGCTGGCGGAGGGCCACCTCAACGGGGGGGTACCGTTGTAGCGACTTGTGCCACCATGCAGGAGGGAGAGGACAAAAACAGCGGGGGCGGCCGAAAAAGGGGGCGGAAGGAGCGAGCCGCTCAGGGGGACGGGTCACGCCCCGAGCGTGTGGCGCGGCCAGCCCCGCCGGCGGGCCCGCGGCGGCTGCTGCACCAGGGGGCCAGCGGCGGCGGGGCGCAGTGCGGGGGCAGATGAAGAAAAAACGGCACAACCATACACGTCGTGCATTTCTAATCGTGCTCATTCCTAAGCGCGCTCGTGTCGAATTGCTCCTGGCCCCCTGGGGGCCAGGAAGAGGCCCAGGACAGAACAAGCAGAAGTGAAAAGACCTCGGCCCCCCCCCCCCCAAAAAAAAACATCGAAACACCTCCGAAGAATGGGCAACGAACCACGTGCAAGCTTGTGGCGCTCCGCGCGGGTTGCTTGGCTCTGCGCTGGACCCGCCTCCCCGGCGCGCGCGGAGCGCGCCAGCGGAGGCGCCGCCCGGCCCCCCTCCTTACCAGCCTGGAACATATCCCTATCCCTCTGCTGGGCGTCTCCTCATCACGATGCCAATCTTAGGAATCCCCTTATTTTTTGAGGGCGGATCCCTACGATTGTCATCGCCTTCTGGCGTGCCAATCTTGGGGATAGGGATAAGTTCGAGGCTGGTAACCGCCCCCTCGCGGGGCCCTCTCCTGGCCCGTCGGGGCCCGCCGTGGCCTCGGCGCGCGCCCTGGCAGGCAGGGCCTGGCAGCCTGCCTCGTGGACCACCGATCCGCTCCGACCCGATCGGTCCTCCCCTTACAGTCGGGGCGTTGACCTAAGGAACCCTCAATAAGTAACGAGGCCCCTGTTGTCCACAAGTTAACCTTCGATTTCCTGTCGAAAACATAAGGAAAGCCTGAGGCAAGCTGTGAACCACTTTAGGAACGCGGAGCCCCTCCCCAACGAAAAGGGTTCCTTCTTCAGGGCCCCGACTGTAGTGGGCCCCGGAAACGGCAGGGCCCGTTTTTCACCGCTTCCCAAAAAAGTGCCCCTTGAAAATGGAGAGGGCAAAAAAGCGGCGACCGGAAGCGGCAACAGAAACGGCTCCAGGAGTGGAGCCGGAGCGGGAAACCCGTACAAAAACGGCGACGGCACCGGCAACAAAAACGGCGTCGGAACCGGCAACAAAAAACGGCAAAACGGAACCGGTGACAAAAACGGCCCTGTCGTTTCCAGGGCCCACTAAGGGTCCTCCCCCAAGCCCCTCGCCCCTCGCGTCGCGAAAAAATCGTGACTGGAGGTTTTCCGCTCGTTTCGGCCTCTGGGGGGCCCCTGCCGGGGCCTCGGGGCCCTCCAGCAGCGCCTCGGGACGAAGGGCCGCTCCCGGGAAGGGGTCCAGATCTCCGGGGGTCGACGCTGTGAAAAAAGCACGACGTCGGAGGTCTGGGCCAGACGCTCAAAAACTCAGTCGGAGGTCTGGGCCAGACGCTCAAACGCTCACAGATCCAGACCCACCTCGGGCAGCAACTGGACGAAACAAAGAAGAATAACAATAATAGCAACAATAATGAAACCACGAAGAAGAATTCAAACTAATTAGAATAATAATAATAATAATAATAATAATAAGAATAATAATAATAGCAACAATATTAATAATCATAATATTATTAGTAATAATAATAATGTCAATAATAATAATAATCATAATATGATTACTAATAATAGTAAAACTAATAGTAATAATACTAATAATAGTAGCAAAGAAAATATTATGAGTAATAATAATAAGAAGAAGAATAAGAATAATAATAAGAAGAAGAAAAATAAGAAGAAGAATAAGAATAATAATAATAATAATAATAATAATAATAATAATAAGAACGTCCACCTTGAGCGTCAGCATCCTCCTCTTCGTCCCCCTCTTCCGCCGACTTCTTTCCCCCCTCCCCTTGTTCCCCCCCCCTCCCTCCTACCTCTGGCCTGCCCCTCTTTCCTGCCCCCTGCCCCCCCTCCCCCTTCCCCTCTCTCCTTGCTTCCCTCCTCTCTGCCCTCTGTGCCCCGTGGTGACCTTCCGCGAGCTCCTCTGGCGCTCCCGTGTGCCGCACCCTCCCTCTCCCTGCCTCTCTGGCGCTGCCCGTTGCCTCCTCCACCCGCCGCTCTCCTCTCCCGCTCTCCCGCTTGCCTCCTCTCCTTCCTCCCTCCCTCGCCGCCTTTCCTTTCCTCTCCTTTCCCGCTCTTCCTCTCCCTCCTCCCTCCTCCTCGGCCCTTTCCCGATCCCCTTGGTACACTTCTGGCTCTTCTCCCCCCCCTCCCCTTCCTGCCGATCCTCCCCGTCTTCGCATGCCTCCCCTCCCTTCTCCCTCCTCCCTTCCCCTTGCGCCGCTCCTCCCTCCTCCCTGCCTCCTCCTCCTCGTCGTCCCCCTCTTCTTGCTGCTCCTCGTCCTCGTCGCGTTCGTCCTCGTCCTCCTCCTCCCACTTCCACCCCGCCTTCTTATGATGAACGTCAGGTCGCAACACCAGGCGTGTCCGCAGGCGAGGCTGAGCGCTTCGCTGGAGACTTCCTTGCACAACTCTTGCGCTAAAACAAATCCGATAATGAATTACGAAGATGACGTGTTCAACAAGTTTAAACAGCTTCCAACTGTTACAATAATGGTCGGCTGGCCTTTTCAAAACGCAGCTCTCTTTTTAGCGCCGCGCACACTCTCGTTTCAACATTCCAAACGCTTGCAATACTGGAGGGCCGGTCGTATTCAACACACAAGCCTCGCCTCAACGCCACGCACGTTCGAGTCAAATTATCTCAGCAGCGCCGGCCGTTCTCAAGATGCGACTCTCGCCAGAGCACCGCGCACGGGCTGAACAACAGCTCCAGCCTGTTGTGACGGTGGCGTGGGCCAGTCCCCTTTTCGGCATGCGGCTCTCGCCTCCGACTTCCCCAAAGCCCACGACCCGAAGCTCGAAGCTGTGCAGCAAGACTGCACGGACGGAGGGCGACTCCTCGTCAGGGTGGAGCTCTCGCTGCCAGACGTCCGGACATCTGAAGACCAGACTTCGGCCGGGCATGTCCTCCTTACAGGCTGATTTCGGGCGAACAACTAAAGATGTCCGAAGACTATTCAAACATAGTTTTAAGCACATCGTTCCCAGACTATGTTTAGACAACTTTTGAATCTTCCTCCTGTAGGGGGACAGGCCCGACTTCAGACTAGAAGTCCGAAGGTGCGCGGCGCTCGTACGGGTGGGGCAGATCCTCCGAAGACGGGGCCATCGCTGGACACGTCCTTGAACTTTAAACATCCCACCCCGTTGCGTTTCTTGTAGCCGGGTGGGCGGCGGATCCTTCACACCACGGGGTCTCGCCTGAGCAGCGGGTCCAACAGGCGCTCGTCATTGAAGGGTAGCGCCTCCCGCAGTGGGCCGCAGGGACCTCTGAGGAGGAGGCTTGGGACGGAAGGGTGTCTTGCAGCATCGTTGGTGTATCCTGGATCTGCTCTGGTGTTTTTTGACGTCAAGCAAACTTCGATGGTTGTGATCGTAGGGTCTGTGTGCGCAGTACTCTTATGGAAAAAACAAAAACGCCAAGAGCGTGCCAACGACAGCATGATGCGCAGCACGCGCCGCAAGGAACAGCGGAGCTGAGCGGCAAAGTGGAAACGCAGAGGCCCGCAAGGGGACCAAGCCCAGGCATCCCCGGCAACACAGGCACCGACAAGGCCCATCCCCGACCCTGTGAACGCCCGCCGCTCCACACCTCCTCGACCCGATCCCTCCTCCTCCTCCTCCTCCTCCTCCTCCTCCTCCTCCCCCTCCCTCCTCCTCCTCCTCCTCCTCCTCTTCCTCCCTCCTCCTCCTCCTCCTCCTCTCGTCCTCCTCCTCCTCCCCTGCTCCTCCTCCTCCTCTCCTCCTCCTCCTCCTCCTCCGCCCTCCTCCTCCTCCGCCTCCGCCCTCCTCCTCCTCCTCCTCCTCGTCCTCCTCCTCCTCCTCCTCCTCCTCCTCCTGCTCATCGCCCGTGACAATGGCCCACACCGAGTTATAAAGGAAGAGAAAACGGCACAAGCTTCAACACTTCCGGCGGTCTGCGCGGCTTTCTCGGATCCGCGCCGGGCCCGGCGCCGGAGGCGACGCCAGGGGCGCCCAGCGCCGATCCAAGAAATCCGCGTGGAGCGCCGAAAGTTTCTGTCCGTGCCGTCTGTCCTCCTGCGATCACAGAGTGCTGTGGTCCTCCTCCTTGAAGGCGGGCCCCGCCCCCGCCCTCGCCTCCCTGGTCCTCCTCCGCCTCTCCTACTTCTCTCCGCCGAGTGCCCTGTCCCTCCGCCCTGCCCCCTGCCCTCCTTGAAGATGGGCCCCGCCTTCGCAAAGTACTTCAGCTCCTCCCCGGCGTGGGGCGGAGCGCACCCTCCGCCGTCCCCCAGCGCACCCCGCCTCTCCCCCCGGGGGGTGGTGGGGAAGGGGGGGGGGGAGGGGAGCGGGATGAGGAGGACGACGAGGGCGATGAGCAGGAGGAGGAGGAGGAGGAGGGAAAGGAGGAGGAGGAGGAGGAGGGAAAGGAGGAGGAGGAGAAGGAGGAGGAGGAGGAGGAGGAGGAGGAGGAGGAGGAGGAGGAGGAGCAGGCGGAGGAGGGAGCAAGCAGAGGAGAACGACAACGAGGAGGGGGGGGGGAAGAGAAGGGGGCGAGGACGGGAGGAGGGCCTCAGGGACGCAGGAAGGGAGGAATGGGAAGACGGGGAGGAAGGACAGGAATGGGGAGGGGGAGGAGGAGGAGAAGGAGGAGGAGGAGGAGGCGGAGGAGGAGGAGAAGGAGGATGACGACGTCATGTTGGCCCTATCGCACCGTCCCCCCGCGCACTCGAGTGCTACTCTGCCTTCTTTCGCCCCGTCGCCGTCGTGCCTGGTCTTTGTTACTGAGGCCACTTCGCCGAAGTCGGGCACTCGTTCTCTATTGTGTCGCAGGCGTTGCAGCCAATTGATGCGAAAGCTTGGTCAACATAAAAAGTACGATGACGACTACGACGGGAGGATTAATGATCGTGGTTCGATCCTCGAGGGAGGGAGGAGGAGCGAGGATCGTGACCGAGGGAGGAAGGGAGGGAGAAAGAGGGATGTGGGAGGACGAGAGGGCAGCTTGGGAGTCGAAGGAGGGGACAGAGGAGGGAGGGCGAGGAGGAGAGTGGAGGATGAGCAAGGGAAGAGACGGGGAGGATGATGTGGGCTCGTGGTTACAAGATCTATATTCGATGCGATGCCTCCGCCTCACCTTCACTCCTCCCGCCGTCTCCTCCCTCCCCAGAGCCACTCACACTCAGACGCGCATAGGGTCGCGACTAATCAGACCTACTCACTCTAAGACTCACTCGCATTCAGACGTACTCATACTCAAAATCACTCACATTCAGATCTACGCACGCTGGACCAATCTTAGGTAGTTTCGAGCACGCAGACAGCCCACACTCATATCATACTCAGTTTCCCATACCGAGGCGCGTTCGTACTCAGACTCACTCATAAGCAGACCCACTCAACCCAGACCACTAACATTCAGACCCACTGATACCCAGCTCACTCGCACTCGTACTTAGACGCACAATCAATTCACACTTTAACCATGCAGATGCACACCCAGCTCATACTCACCCTCAGACTTCTCCGCACACCGTCACTCACACTCAGACCCTCTCGCGCTCGCATGTGATAACCAGCCCCGCCCAAGGCCACCGCGATGTAGCAGGCAAAGTATTTGGACACCCCTAGGCTAGGGGGAATCGCCAGGCGGTATCTCACGGGCCGTTCGGGCTCATATCGCAGGGATGCCTCGAGCGGCTCGCCTTGCTTGGCGTCCCAGACTCCTGCCTTTCCAGAGCCACATGATCGCCGCGATGCAGCAACCATAGTAGTTTGGCGAGCCGCCAGGGGGGTTACAGTCGGGGCGTTGACCTAAGGAACCCTAAGTAAGGAACGAGGTCCCTTTTTTACAACCTAAACTTCGATTCCCGATCGAAAACATAAGGAACACCTGCGGCAAGCTGTGAAACACTTAAGGAACGCGGAGCCCCTCCCCAACGAAAAGGGTTCCTTCTTCAGGGCCCCGACTGTATGCCACTGCCCCACGCGCGCTCCTGCTTCAGGGGAGTATCGAGCGAATTGTTCGCTTGACTTCCCAACGTCCTCTCTGTTCAGAGCCCCAGGATCACCGCGGTGCTGCTGGCACGCCGCTTGGGCCTGCCAGCCGGCAAGGCCGCCAGGGGATATCTCGCCAGGCCTGTGCGTGCTCCCAGATGGTGGGGATGCCTCGAGCGGCTCGGCGGTTTGGCGTCCCGATGTTTGCCCGTTCTGCTCCAGGCCTCGTGGTCGCCGCGGTGCAGCAGGCAGCGCGCTCGGGCACCCTCAGGGGGGAGCGCTGCCAGGAGGTGTAGCACATGTTGTGAGGACCTCTCCAGCGCTTCGTCTGTCTGGTGTCCCCGACCCCGTTCTCTCAAAGGCCCCGGGATCATTGCGACGCAGCAGGCGACGCACTTGGGCACCCCTGGGGGGATCCGCCAGGGGTTACCTCACTGGCCCGTCCGCGATCAAACTGTAGGGATGCCTGGAGCGGCTGGCCTGTTGCTTCGTCCCAAGCCATTTCCTTCTCAGAGCCCCCATTTTGGACGCCCGGAATGGGTACGGAAAGAATGGGTACAATGCCCAACAACAAATGTTGTCCCAAACCAACAGCGGCCGCTGTTGGGCAGGCGGCCTTCTGTCTCGAACGGACACCGGCCGCGGTGGCGTGGACAGCGAGTCCTGTTCAGAATGAACAGGATCCGCTGTTGGGCATTGTACCCATTCTTTCCGTGCCCATTTATCGCCATCGCTCGGACGTCCATTCCCCGTGCATTTTCCGATTCCGTGCGTGCCTTTTTCGCCAAATGATCAAAAATGCTCCTCAATGGTCCACGCCGAGAAGACATGCACACGTCCGAGCGACGCCAAGATTTCGCTCGTGCAGACCCGTGGTCTCCGCGATGCTGCAAGCCTAGCTCCTGGGCGCCACCCTGGGGGAGCCGCCCCAGGGCGATACACTTGCCCGCTTGCGCCCGGATCGTGGGACCTCCCAGGAGAAGCTCTGGCTCGGGAGCCCCCGACTCCTCCCGTCGCAGTGCCAGGGTCACGCAGGTGCAGCAGGCATCGCGCTTGGGCAATCCCGCGGGGGAGCCGCCAGGAGACGCCCAGCCGCCACAAGCCAGTGTTCGTGCAGTCGGACGCTCATGAGCGGGAATGCCAGGAAACTATCTGCACATGCTTCTGGAGATCTTCGCGTCAAGCATTGTTGTCATGCTTTTCCTGAACGTTCGCTTCCGAAAATCATGTCTGCCGGCCACCCCTGACTGGCTGGCCTTGCGCTTTTCCGTTGGTATGCCCCCCGGGGCTCGCATCTTGTTTGTCCGCAGAGGGAAATCAGACCCCCCCCCAGGGCACAACAACAGTGGCTGCCGCCTAAGACCCCCTCCCGATCATTCAGGACCCCCGCTGCTGCTCGAGAGGTCCTCACAATGGATTCAAGGATGGCGCTCCAGCGTGGGACGTCCGGGCAACGCCCACGCCGCTCAGGAATCGGCACCAGAGAGCCCCAAGACGCTCCCGTGTGCCCCCCCGAGCAGCCGCCACCCAAGGTGCTGAGCTGGCACGGGAACGGGTTTCCACAAGCAGCTGGATACTGTGTTGGCTTGTCTTCCCCCTCCTCCCTCCTTGTCCTAGTTCTCCTCCTCCTCTTCCTCCTCCTCATGATCCTCCTCTCCCTCCTCCCCCTCCTTGCCCTAGCTGATACTGCTGCTCCTCCTGCTCCTGCTGCCGATGAGCCTCCTCCTCCCTCCTCCTCCTCCTCCTCCTCCTCCTCCTCCTCCTCCTCCTCCTCCTCTCGTCTCCCCCCCTCCCTCCTCCCTGCTCGTCCTCCTCCTCCTCCTCCTCCTCCTCCTCCTTCCTCCTCTCCTCCTCCTCGTCCTCGTCCTCGTCCTCCTCCTCCTCCTCTTCCTCCTAGTCCTCCTCCTTCTTCCTACCACACCACCATCACCACCACCACCACTGGCATCACCATCACCATCATCATCACCAGCAACATCACGATCACCATCACCATCACCGTCATTATCACGTCATCAGAGTCATCATCGACGACATCATTATAAGCATCATGGCCATTACCATTATCAATCAAAGCACCATTATCATCACCACCAAGACCATCCCATCATCACCACCACCATCATGATCACCACCACCACCACCCTCCTCCTCCTCCTCCTCCTCCTCCTCCTTCTCCCCTGCATCATCCTCCTCCTCCTCATCATCATCACCATTACCACCATCGTCATCATCAGCAGTATCAGCAGCAGCATTAGCATCAGCACCAGCATCCGCATCATAATCAGCATCAGCATCATCATCAGCATCAACACCATCATATCAAGCACCATGACCATCACCGTCAGCATCACTATCACCACCATCATCATCATCACCATCATCATCATCATCAGCAGCATCATCAGTATCACCCACATCATCGTCGTCGTCGACGTCGTTGTCACCATCATCATCATCATCATCATCATCATCATCATCATCATCATCATCATCGTCATCAGCATCATTATCATCATCGCCAATATCATCACCATCGTCGTCATCGTCACCATTCTCATCATCAGCATCACCATGATCATCAGCAGCATCGTCATCATCACCGCCATTTTTATCATCACATCAACATCATCATTACCAACATCATCACCATCATTATCATCAACATAATCACCATCGTCATTCTCAATGCCATCATCATTATCAGCATCGCCAACATCAGCATCGTCATCGTCGTCGCCGGCGTCGTCGTGGCCATCGTCATCATCATCGGCATCATCATCATCAGCATCAGCATCATCGTAATAATCATTACCATCGTCATCATTCTCAGCATACTTATATCATCACCATCATCATCATCACGACCATATGCACCTTCATCCTTATCTCCATCAGCATCAACATCAACACCAACAGCATCATCATGATCATCAGCATCGGCATCACTGCCACCATCATCATCATCATCATCACCATCACCACCACCATCATCCTCACCACCACCACCACCATCACCATCACCATCACCATCACCATTATCATCATCATCATCATCATCATCATCATCATCATCATCATCATCATCATCATCATCATCATCATCATCATCATCATCATCATCGCCGTCGTCGTCATCATCACCATCATCCTCATCCTCGTCCTCATCCTGATCCTCATCCTCGAGCCGTTTCGGCTCGGGCTATCGTGAGGGAAACTCGAACTTGCGACCACTTACGTCGAAGCGGCGAGTGGC